TTTGCTTTCCTAGACCAGAAGAAAGAGGCTTCAGCTCATTATCAAAATGCAGTATTCCCATCACTGTGAGCACCTTCTAGAGAGACTGAACAAGCAGCGAGAAGCCGGCTTTCTTTGTGACTGCACTGTTGTCATTGGTGAATTCCAGTTCAAAGCACACAGAAATGTGCTGGCCTCTTTCAGCGAGTACTTCGGTGCATTTTACAGAGATGCGTCTGACAATAATGTTGTTTTGGATCAGACTCAAGTGAAAGCTGATGGATTCCAAAAGCTCCTGGAATTTATTTATACGGGAAACTTAAACCTTGACAGGTAACACATGCTATAAAAGGGGGAATGAAAATAGGGAAATAAACTTTGTGTAAGGCAGTACTGGGTTTTCTGTTTGTAATAAGTTCTGGAGGAACAAATACATATTAATAATCTGAAGATAATCAATTTGTATGTTTTAAAATACCCCACAGCTTGTGAGTGCCAAAGGTATGTTGTCTGATATTTCACTGATGGATAGTTTCACTCTCTGGATCTTTCTGTCTGGACTGGAAGGGATTAACAGTCTTGTGTGATTACTGGGAGAGGGAAGGATGAATGTATTCTTTCTGAAGGTGGATTTTAGAAGTCTATTTTTGCAGAGAACACACAGAAACTGTATAATGCAGTAGACACTGAAGTCTGAGGAATAGATGAGGATGGGCTCTATTTTAAAAAAATAAGTTTGTTAGAGTTTGCGTGATCTGTTACTTAAAATCTTGTATTGCAGCGCCCAAAAGAAGTCACAGAAAAAGTGGTTCCTCCCTTACTGTGTTAATTTTGCGCACGTTGTGTTGCTTCATATACAGCAAGGCTTTTTTGTAGTGCTTCTCTGTCAGGCAAAAAAGTTATTATCCCTCATGAGAGAAATGTGATTACTTAGAAGTATGTAGTCCAGGATTTTTACTCCTTTCTCAGTATCTGGTGTTGAGTGGAGATTTAAAAAGCCTTTGTTTCTACTGAAGTCTGAAAACTCATACTTGATAATTTAAATATGCAGATGCAGGGTGGTTTTTTATGTTTAAATTAGCTACAAGGATGAACAGTAGTAGAGCAGTGTACACAGCTGTGTGGTGAAGTTAGTGATTGATGCTTTGCAAATTATATATGAGCAAAAGTTTGCGGCATTCTTGATGTCTGTGTGGGACCACAGCAGAAGAGTTTCTGGATTCATTCTGAGCAGTTGAGATCTCTGAAGGAAGAGGAAGGTGAAAGTCCTGTTCTCACCCAGGCAGAACCATCTGAGTAAAGATGACACCTGCAGGTCTGTCCACATGCACCTGTCACCCTGTACTGTGTCCCTCTGGGTGACTGCTGCAACTGTCTGCAGGACACCACCTTTTCCAGATCCATTTTTTTTCTAAACCATCAAGGCCTGTGTTGAAGGAACTGAAAAACAGGGCGTAGTAGTTTAAGCAAGGACTTGCTTGGTGGTCATGTTGTCTTGTGTGCAGATGATACGGAATTAGGACTGTTTGCAGATTGTTTTATAAAACAATATTAATACCTGTCTCACAGAAGTGCTGAGGGGAATGTGCCACTTGCGAATTGCTTAAGACTTTGGGCAGAAGGATTAGAGAGTGATAATTTTTGCATTTTCTTCTCCAGTGTTTTATCCTTTTATGCTGTGATCTCTGAGCTTTTTGGACCAACGGTCCCCATGCCTAGTCTCAGTACCTTACAATTGGACTTTTAACGGAACATAAAATTTTCTGTTCTGTGGATCTGCAGACCCCACCAGGAGTGGGCCGTCCGTTCGGGAGTAGTTGTCATACTAGTGTTTGACGGCACTACAGCACTAAGAGATTAGCTTTTGCTGTATATGTTCTGAGAGTGACATTTTCTGACAGTGTAACTTTTCTCTGGCTCTGCTGTCTGCATTTGATACAGTTGGTACAGAACAAACATTTTTGCTTTGTCCAGAACATTGTCACATAAGTCCTGTTTTCTTGCAGCTGGAATGTTAAAGAGATTCACCAGGCTGCCGACTATCTCAAAGTAGAAGAAGTGGTCACTAAATGCAAAATCAAGATGGAAGACTTTGCTTTTATTGCTAATCCATCTTCTACAGAGACATCTAGTATCACTGGAAACGTTGAAATCAATCAGCAGACTTGCCTTCTGACTCTCCGAGATTACAATAACCAGGAGAAAGCAGATGCTGCTTCTGCAGAGTTGGTTCAACCACAGGCAAAGAAAGCAACTTTAGAAAAGAAATCTCCTCAAACCAAAAAGCGAAAGAAGAATTTCAGCCCTCCCAAAAGCATACAGAATAAATCTGTACAATATCAGAATGATGTGACCGAGAACACATCCATTGAAATGTTCTTAGATGCAAATAAGCTGGCCACCCAGATAACCGAACAGGCTGCCCAAGGCAGCGATAACGCTGAACTACAGCTGGCAGCTGTGGTGGAAAGTGAAACCCTGGCAGCGCAGGATATCCTAGTTCAAACTATTGCAGCAAAACAGAAACGGGGGAAGCCTCAGCAAAGCTGCGCGCTGAAGGAGCACTGTATGTCTAACATAGCCAGTGACAAGAACGCTTACCAGCTTGAGAGTTCAGGGGAAGAACTGGACCAGAAGTACTCCAAAGCTAAGCCAGTATGCAACACGTGTGGAAAAGTCTTTTCAGAAGCCAGTAGCCTCCGTCGACACATGAGGATACACAAAGGAGTGAAACCATACGTGTGTCAGCTTTGTGGAAAGGCATTCACCCAATGCAATCAGCTGAAAACACATGTAAGAACTCACACAGGTAAGCAGTGGCCTTGTCTCGTGGACTGTGGACACTTTATTAGTCTGAGCATCTTGATTTCTGGAAGGACTCAGAAGAGCTGGCTACCCTTTAACTCTGTAGAGTGCCAAAAACTATTGCCAGTAGAGCATGAAAAACTCCTTGCACTTGGTACCAGAATTTCTGTTGCATTTTTTTAAAACTTCAAATCCTAATATACACGTTTAATAATAAAAGTAGGAAAAAAACCGCAATCTTGTGACAAGTAGGTAACTTCTGCCCTAGGGTCTTCAAAAATGTAGGGGAGGTTGCTGAATTACCACTGCATTTGGGATTTTATTTAGTAAAATGTGCAGCTGAACCATGTGATTGTGTTATGATCTCTGCATTCAGTAACATTACCAGAAGTTTGTGTTGTATCAAGAGCTACTGGAGAAAACGTCAAAGAGAAATCAATTACGAACACTGAAGTCAGACGTGTTGTTTTAATGTTTAAAAAGAATATGAACAGCAAATTGCTGGAGCCTGGGAAGATGTACAGGAGAAGTACTACGCTTGTGTTTTCCTGTGTTCTCCCCGAGAGGTGGAAGACGATGCTGGGTTAGTTCATTCTTCAGGCTGATCTGGCACAGCTGTTCTGCAGTTGACTTTGCTGCTGTACTTAGCCCAGTGAGCAGCAGAGGGACCTGGTTTATGTAGTTTTCTTCCTTTTGTGGCTGGCATTCAGAGTTCTGAAGTAACAGTGAAACAGATTAAAAACTGTTTACTTTTGCTCTTTTTTCCCGTTGGAAAACTCTGAGCAGAGGCCAGCAGTGGAGCTCTTTCCAGAAAGCTGTGAAGATGCAAAGAGGTGAAGTAGGAAGTGTTGAGGTACAGCTGCAGGAGGATGCCTTGTAAGCTCTTTCTGTAACCGAGGGAGAGGATTTCAAATATTGTCAGCCACTAACCAAAGATTCATGTGCGAGGTGGAGCTTGTGAGCAGTATTCAGGGACAGTTTGCTGGTAGGAACATCAGCTGCACTTTCTGCTTTTGAGGGTGTTGTACTGGGAAGTTTTGCATGAGTAGGTAGGGAATTTCACAGTATTGGTTGCTAGGTGGCAGGTTAGATGTCTAATACATTTATTTTTTGAAGATTTTTATGTACACAATATCCTTAAGAATTGTTGAGTTCTTGGTTTGATTGTGCACTGCCATAGAAATGAATACTTTTATATTGTCATCGAAGACTGCAGGGTTGCACGATCAGTTACATGAGACTATTGACCACCAAGAGAACATGAATAGAGAAGTACTTGTAGCATTCTACAGCAGATGCTAAAGAGAAATCAGTGATCACTAGACTGTACGTTGAACACCTGTTGCAGGCAAGAAAAAGCAGATGATTTACTAGTTGTTCATCTTGAATATTCAGAATCATGAATAGACATAAACAGAAAAAGGCTGAAAATGTAGTAGTAGCATTCTTAAAATAATGTGGGGAAAATGGCACTATTAAAAGTGTTCTTACCTTTTTTTCCCAAAAGGTAATGTGTTAAAAAAATAGCCTGTTATTCGCTGTGTTCCTGGCATGTTCCACTTCAGTGGACTGATTGTGGGATGTTCCAAGATGTTATTTGTAAGAAGTATGAGAACAGACACCTGAGCTTTGCTCAGGTAGTGGATTGGAAGGCTTTCTTACGTAAACGCAGAGAGCACAAAGGTTTTATTTTTCACTAGGGGAGAAGCCATACAAATGCGAACTGTGCGACAAAGGCTTCGCTCAGAAGTGCCAGTTGGTGTTTCACAGTCGGATGCATCATGGAGAAGAAAAACCATACAAATGCGATGTCTGCAATCTGCAGTTCGCAACTTCAAGCAATCTGAAGATTCATGCCAGGTAGGCAGAAGTGAGGTCCAGCAAATGCTTATCCGTCGGTTTATTTAAACAAAATAATTTACTCCAGTGTAAGCAAGAGTTACACATTCACATAATTTGTTCATTTCTACTCCTTTTCTCCTGGGTCTTCTCTCACTCTGCATAGCGGAATAATTACAGCTATGTACTTGCTCATTAGGGAAGCGATGTGCAGTTTATGAATGCTGCGGCGTATGCACTGCTGTCCTTATGGCAGTCATGTGGGGTTTGGTTTGGTTTGTTTTACACTGCTTGTAGCACCAAAGAGGAGAGGGTTCCTTGGTGGGAAGTGAAACAGAAGACTTCTCAGTGCTCATTGCTATTCCCATGGGGCTTTTTGCATTTTTTTTGGCAGGAGCAGCAATTACATTCCCTTGTTGGGAATCATAATTTTATCTTTCATTACACTGTAATGCAAAACTTGCTGAGTTCTCTTGGTGCACATTACATGTGTAGGGCCTGGAGTTGAGTTCAGCTGCCACTGAAATCTCGGATGCATCGCTTCCCTGAGTCAGCAGACAGTGAATTTCACTCTGGGAGAAACCGCTAACTCAAAACCAAACTCACAGTTGTTACAGTTTTTTAGTTCACAGAACATCAACATAAGGAAATTTGGGGATCCAGTACTAATTGAGGAAAGTTACTGAATCATGGGTGTTGTTTTCCATTCTGCCAGGAGATGACTGATGTCTGTGTGTATTCGCAGGAAGCACAGCGGCGAGAAGCCCTACGTGTGTGACCGGTGTGGTCAGCGGTTTGCTCAGGCCAGCACACTCACCTACCATGTGCGTCGCCACACGGGGGAGAAACCTTATGTTTGTGACAGTTGTGGAAAAGCCTTTGCGGTCTCAAGTTCTCTCATCACCCATTCCCGAAAACATACAGGTGAGGGGAGATTGGAGCGCTGTGGTATCAGGACAGGCCTGGTGAGGCAGGACTGGCTGCCTGCAGAGGGATTGGAGATAGGGAATGGCCAGGAATTGTGTAGATTGGGAGTTACCGCGGGTGTTGTATTCCAGCTCCTTTCTCATGTCCTTTCCCTTTGACTCCAGTTTAGGGAGCTCCTTCTCCCCTTGGACATTACCTCTGTTTCACTTTGATTTGTTCTTTATGTGTATTCTGGTTTATATATTGAAATAACAAACTCCTTGTGTTTCCTTTAGGAGAGAAGCCATATATCTGTGGCATTTGTGAAAAGAGTTTTATTTCCTCTGGAGAGCTCAATAAACATTTTCGGTCCCATACAGGTCAGTTTCCTGACAGGCTGCTTCCTGCACTATAAATAATATTCTACCTTTACCCTTTTGCTTCTAAAATACACCATATTGTGCTGTACTTGAAAGTAGCAGAGTTTCTTAATTTATGTATCTCTCTGTTAAATATTTTCTCTAAATTATTTTGTGAAAATTTTTTTAATTGCCTTTCTCAGACTAATACCTGTGTAACTGTGGGTGTTGATGTATGATAATGGCTTTACTTCTAACATTTGGGGTTTTTGCTTTGTTTTCATCTATTATTCTGGAAACAATTTTATTCTGAATACAGACACGCAGACAAAATAACTTAGAGTTACAAAGTTGTATTTTAAAATACAACATCAAAATCCATTATCCTACATATCTAACTATGTTTTCGTTCAATTTGAAGACTATTCTAGCTTGTAAACCTTTTTTTTCTTTCTTTTAGGTGAAAGACCATTTATCTGTGAAATGTGTGGAAATTCTTACACAGATATAAAAAATCTTAAGAAGCACAAAACGAAAGTTCACACAGGTGAGTTCCTTATGCAAAGAAAGGTTAAGAAACTATATGAACTATTTTGTCGTCTTCCATGCTGAATAACTTTTTTTTTTTTTTTGCTCATCTAGGCCTAAAATTAGAAAATAAAAAGGGTTTTGGATAGTAGCTCTCTTTAGAACCCAAAGCATCTGCTTTAGAGGTACCCCAACCTTTTAAAGTATAAAGTACGTGCTTTGAAGTAGATTCAAGACAAATTTTCAAGCATTTGCATTGCTATAGCAAACACATGTTGAGCAACATCGGAAGCAGATTGCTGCTGGCAGGGATTTCTCTATGTGAATATTTACTTTCTTGTCCTAGTAACTTCTGAGAGTTTCCCACATGAAGGCAGAGTCTGAATTGTAGGAATTTTTTACCTCTTCTGAATATGTCTTGGGAGTATGTCTTTACGAGGGTAGTAACTGAGGTCAATAAGGCCTACTGGTTACAAGAATTACTTTACATCTTGAAGGCACAAATATTTTCAGTGTAACAGTGAAAGATGTTTTTATATATGCAGTCAATGTTAATCCAAGTCTGAGCTGGATTAGCAAACACATAAGATCAGGCCAGCTGGCAAAATGTTCCCAGCTGTGAATACTGCTCTAAAAAGACTTTTCAAATGCATTCAATTCCTATTCTAGATACCAGATTTTGATCAGGAAGAAATTTGACCTGTATTACTTGCTTGTGGTACAAAGCACAGAGATGTTTCAGATAGCCAGCCTCTTTCAGTGCTTGAGCGTATTAACTGTAATTCCCTCGCCTGTGTCATATGAAAAAAGGAATAATAGGTGCCTATGTATATCTGGATTGGGACAGATGGGGCAGGCGAGGGAGGTGATGAGAAAACTAGTCATCCACAGAGGCAGCTTTGACCGTCAAAAGCTTTAGAAGCCCCATTTAGGAAGGCCCCAGTACAGCAGGAAGCCAGTGGAAGCAGAGGTGAGGTGAGAGCAGCAGCGAGCGTGGAGAGGGGCTGGCAGAGCCCCAAGGTGTGAGCTGGGAGAGCTGCCAGGGCAGGTCAGCTCTCGTGGAGAGACAGGAGGCAGACAGGAGTGCTTCACCACTGAAATAACAGGCTTCGGAGCACACTTTGATAGAGGAAGGTTCAAATATCTGATTGGCTTAATCACAAAGCCGTCCAAGAGCAGTGGCGGACTATATTCAAACAGGAAGGCAGTGAGGAGGAATCTGTTAGTGATTTCAATTAAGAACAGAAAATAGTTTCTCAGGTGACTGCATAAAAACTGTAATGGGGATGGAATTAACAAATGTTTTCTTCCAAAGAAGTTTATGGATACATGACACATGGTACATTACTGTCTCAGTTAAAAGAGGATGCTTAGATGGAGCTGCGGTTCATAGATTTTCTGGGGTGGAAAATCTCAAGGAAACCTTCATAATTACATTTTCTCCAAAGCTACTTTGTTCACTGTGATGTTAAGGATTTGTTACTTTCTATATCATGGGAAGTAGAGATCAAGTTGGAACGCATCATCCTATCTAGCTGTTGTGCTACAAGCATTGGAGGATGTGATTGGTAGTGCTTACACTCTATTTACAGCTCTTTCTGGCTTTATGGGACATCAAAGGCACTGATAGCCCAGCTCCCCAGGCAGGCTTTGACACACCAAGTGTTTGTTTTGACAGTCAGTTGAAAGGGAATTTGCAGAATTTGTACAGGAGCTTTTGAACATTTTTTTTTCTTTCCCCCAGGATCTGAAACTCCTCCTGATTCTAATGCACTTGATAATTCTTTCAATGAACAAGAATCTATTCAGAGTCAAAAAAGTCCTTTATCAGAGTCCATAGATGTGAAACCCTCTGAGATGTCTTTAGCACTTCCTCTTCCCATTGGGACTGAAGACCATCAGATGCTGCTTCCCGTGACGGGTAGTCAGTCTCCTTCATCAGAAACGTTACTAAGGTCTGCTGTGACTGGATATTCAGAACCTCAGTTTATTTTCTTGCAGCAGTTATACTGACAGTGCAGTACAGAGCCACCAAGGTAATTTGGTAGTGAACCCGCATACCTTTGGTAAATGAGCATAAGCAAGCAGTCACACTTTGTTTGAATTGGACTTGTTCTTTTTTTTCATCTGTGTAAAGACACTCGTAAGGCATTTCCATTGTGCAGTGCTGTCTTGGTTTTTGTTGAATTGTGTTAATCTACAATCAAATTTCTATTTGCAGTTAACACTGATCTCCAGGAACACCTGCCTTAAGAATTCTCTGTTAAATATGTTAATGTATTTTGGAGATCTCCTCCCATGTTTCTGCCAATCTGATGTGGTACAGTGTCATTTGAGAGCAGACATCTTAAGCCATATTTGATAGTTTAAGAATATTAAGCCAGAGGTGTAAGAGGAAAGTAATAATTTGAATGTACTAACAAGCTTGTACTCCTGCATTCCAAGGTGATATAATGGTACATGATGGAAGGTAGGCCAGTGCTCTGGTGAGGTGCTTGCAAAGAATTACTGCTGTCTGCCAGAAGTAGCCGTCTTCAGTTGAAGTTTGACCAGTGGGAAAGAAATTTTAGTGTATATTTTCCTGACAAGGCAAGTAGAGGAGGTTTAATTTCTTTTCTGTAGTGTGGCAAGTCAGAGGGTTCTAATGGCATAGATACTACTGGGTATTCTTTCCAACAAGTCACTTTTTCTTTTTTTTTTATTTTAAATGAATCCAGCATTGTTGTATCTTGTCCCAGATTTATTTTCACATCCCTAAAATAGTTTTAGCACAGACAGGAGGATTTGCTTGAAAGGAGAGCTGGAACATGCATGTTGTAGATGAGACAAAAAGATGCATTGACTCAATTGTGAAGCGTGAATCATAGCTTCATAATCCTGCTTTTACAGTAGTGCTGCTTCTTGTGCTAGTCAGTAGGTACAAAAGAGGAAATAAATCCTGCCCTTCACTGTGAAAATAATAAGTGAATGCTACATGAGGGGGCATTAAGGAAGAATACAACAGAGCAGATTGATATTCTTTCAGGTGAGGGTTTGTCAGAGTTTGACTGATTTGTTTTAACTGAAGTATTTATGTATTGCTTTACTTCTCATGTCACTGGTCCACAGTAACTGCACAAAACTGGTATCTAGCAAGACTCATGTAAAGGTATGTTTTAGTACTAGCAGTGTAAATTTTTAAAAAGCAACATTTTTACTGTCGTGGTAGGGTCATTAGTAAAGACTAGTTGACAATAGGAGTACTTTTATACTCTGTTTTGCCAGTTTGTGCCATTAACATAATGTAAGCATTATTTAAATAATCATCAAATAGTAAGGAAACAGTCATAGTTTTGTACCAACAATGCATTTAAAGATATTATTTGTTGGTTATTTACTTGGTGCTAGCATTTTACTTCCACTGATGCCTTGTGTCCAGACACTGATAAACAGAAGAGCATAGGAGATACCTCTTAACTGATTGTGTTCCACATGGAGTAATAATTAACCTGCACCTTAATTAAACAGACTTGTGAAAAATTTCTTGGAGGATTTCATTTAAATATTCTGCAAATGGTCTCTTGACTCCTGAGCATGACTATAGTTTGTTTTTTTTTTCTCTTCCTACATGTTTGTACTTGTAAAGTAACAGATGTTTTGCTTCTTGATGTTGATCATCTTAGTATGTGGTATGTTTAAAACCCTGCTTCGTGATCATATTTTATGCTTTAATATATGGCCAGTTTGCTGATAAAGTCTACCGTGGACAGCAAGTACAGCCACGTTCACCAGAATCGTTCTTAACACAGGCGTTTCAGACTGTCCACTGTAGTAATTTTTGCCATACCTGCCTGACCTTTCTTTGCTTTGCTTATCCATTCTGCCACATTGATGAGCAGCTGATGTCCTTCATAATGCTGGCAAAGGCCAGTGGATGAAGTTCTCTAGTTTATTTCTTGTCTGTTTCGCATTTCCCCCTTTCCTCCCCGTTTTTCTTTTTTAGCTTCTGTTGTTGATGTAGCACCTGAAGGATTCCTTAGCCTTGTCACTTAAGACTAAAGAACCACAAAGATCTGGATGTTGACTGTGTAACAAAACCAAACTCTGTGTAGCTTTTCCTAAGGTTCCTCTTTACTTTCTTTCTCTGAAAATAGAGCAGAAGTCTTGGGATAGATATAGACTTAGTCACGAATACTGAAAAAGAACAATACCGTACAATTGATAAATTTCATATTCAAACAGCGTTGGAAGATAAACTAATGATATGCTGCTGTTACCTGAGGAGAAGTATCTGAAGATTAACGTGTCCAGGATAAATGACCACAAGAGAGAACTAGCTCTGGAAGAAAAAAAAAAAAAAAAAATCACATTCCTACACAGAAAAGGCATTCCATAACAGTGTTTGTTTGGACTATCTTTATATTTCTAAAGTTATAGCTTATTACCGTATTCTTAGATTTCAGACTTTTTAAAAAACTACAGTGCAGAGATTTATAAAGGATTTGTTTAGATACTTATAACTTACACTTGCTTTATTAGTCATTTAGTTTTCTTTATAGACAAGAAGATCATTATTTTTTACAAGACAACAATTTTAACCTTTCTTAATAGAATACACAGGCTTGTAGTTTTGTCTTGGAGCAATAATTTAGTGACCTGCACTCTTGAGTCCCCATCTGAGAGTCTTGATTTTTATCCTCATCTTTTGTGAAGGTATCTCAGCTACTGAGGTATATCTATAAACTGTATTCATTTACTAGAATATAGATTTTAAATAT